AGAAAATTCCTCCTCCTCTGGAAATGGTAGTTTCTTTTCCGGTTAATTTATTAATCTATTTACATCTGAAGCACTATATGTCCACACTGTATATTTTTTAAATGCTAACATAAAGAGCATTATATGTCTGTGTGTGGTGTGTGCAATATGTGTCACACACATATGTATATTTGTGTGAGACAAAGTCTTCCTAAATTACCTAGGCTGATCTCAGACTCACAGTTGTCTTGCCTTAGCCTTCCAGATAGCTAGGATTATGGTTGTGTGGCACTATTCCCAGCTAATGTATTTTAAGTGATAATAACAAAGGTTTTGAGCCAGGCATGGTGGTACACCCCTGTAATCCCAGCATTTAGGATGAGCAAGAGGATTGCCATGAGTTCAAGAACAGTCTGAACTACACAGTGAGACCCTGTCTCAAAAAAACAAAGACACACACACACACACACACACACACACACACACACACACACAAAAGAAGGTTTTTAAGGCTCATGATTTGATCTCAGATAGTACTAATTTCATTTTTTACCAAAAAAAATTTTAATTAATTATTGGGATTTACTGTAACCATTTCATGATCTAAAGGCATAACATTTCACAGCGATACTTATAAAATTAAAGTGGAGAAAAATAAAGATCAAAAAATACATTTTCTTAAAAGTATGATACCCATAAGAAAAAACTCTAGGTATACCTTCCACTGAAATTTTCTCCTATGTATTTAGCTTATGTAGATTTTTGAATATTTGGAAGCTACAGAGTTTGACCTCATTCCCACAGCAAGTTCCTACAGGGGAGTGTGACAATGCATGATGTAGGAGAAGCAAAGAAGAGTTTTTCTCAGTCTCCATCTCAGAAATGCTATAGGAGAAGCATATGTCAGTACTTAGCAGTCTCTTTACATTTGCTACTTCTGATGTTTCATATTCCCATGTTCTTATGGAAGTAAAGCACCATCATAGGAGATCTTTCCATCTTAACTTGATGAGCATATAGTGGCTGTGCCAAGTTTTCATATAGGTCCCTTGAGCCTTGTTTATTTGTATTCTAATTCCCTGAAGCTCTTCTTGGATCGTTCTACTCTAAGCCAGTTTTTCTCATGCTTATTATATATCTGTGCTTGGAGTGGTGGGAAAATTGATTTAATCTATGGTAGTCTCTTTTAAAGTCAGCTCTTTTGAGTGTGCATGCCACACAAATACTGTGGAAGCAGATTTATTGTAGCAGAAGTAACTTTAATTGCATACTCTTTGAAGTTAAATGTCACTTAGGACAATAGAGCCAAATGACAATGAAGAAAATGAGGCTCATACAGTAAAGAGCCAAGGCAAAATACTGGAAATCAATTCATGTGACAACTGTGGGATTCTCATACTGAGAGATGATATAAGTCTCCTTCTCCCTTCCTAGCTCAGTACGGAAGACATTATATGGAACCAAGCAAAGAAAGTAGGGGCAAAAAGCCCAGCCAGGGCAAGGAGGATAATGGGTAGTAATGATGACAGTAGGCTCACAGGGTAGAGATCCATTAAAAAAAAAAAAAAACACCAGTGCTGTGGCCCTGGGATCTAGCTTAGTGGCACCAAGTACCTGCCTGGCAAGCGCAAAGTTATGAGTTCATTCCCTCTACAAAAAAAAGAGTGCTGTAAGTACAGACAAGAAAAATGAAAATGACCCTGTAGCATTAGAGTGAAAATGAAAGCAGTGGTAAATTTGGAATTTTCAACGTATATAAGTAAATAGATGTATAATATTTATATGCAGATGTATATTACTTACTGCAGAAACCAAATTCACAGATGTATTTACCAACTGTGTCTACAGAGAAACCTGGGAACAGTGACAGCCTAATAGCAGTGAGCACACCTAGCATTCAGATCTTGGCTTCTGAATGGGGCAGCAGAAGTACAAGGTGAGCATGGAACATCTTGTGCCAGAAAGTATTATGCTCAAAGAATGATAGGGTCATGACAATAAGAAATTTGCAGTCCCCACTAGCTAAATCTGGGATAATCTGAGCATCAGAATAAATACTGTAGTAACATGTATAACCTACTAAATAAAACAAGAAACTGTGAGACTGCAATGTAATTAGGTAATGTAAACCAAGCAAATAGTATTTGTTCTTAGAAATGGATGTACCATTAATATTAATGCTCCCTAATTTAAGATAGCCCACATACAGTTTTTCAACTTTACAGTGGTATAAAAGCAAACTATATTCAATAGAAACTGTGCTTTAAGTTTCCCAGTCTAGCAGTATAGTCTAGTTCTGTCTTGGAGTTTTGGACAGTAGCAGCAAACCACAGCTCCAAATCAGGTCCAGAGTCACTAGGGGAAATAAATGACATTCTGGTGTACTGTGTTGCTAAAGCATTCTTATAATGGGTTTGTCAGGATGGAGGTACTCCTGCCAAAATTCATTGTCTCGGTATACTCATGAAGACACATTAGACAAACCCAAATTGAGGATAATTTCATGAAATTACTAGCCAGTAATCTTCAAAATCCAAGAAAGGTCAAGAAAGACTAAAGAACCATTTTAGTTGGACAAAAACTTCAGAGTGTTAGTAATTCAGTGTCATATGTGATCCTGCCATGGATCTTTTTGCTATAAAGGGCACTTAGGTGACAGTTGGTAGAACTTAAATGCAGTTTGTGAGTCAGATGGCAGTGACATGTTATTGTTAATTTCTTAATACTGATACTGTGGTTCTGTAGAAGAATATTCTTATTTGTAGGAATCATGTCGTACCAGAGTCCCTAGAGAAGATTATACCAGAACCTACTCACAGAGAGTTCAGAATAAAAATTGTTCTTTGAATTTGAAATAATTTCCAATTTTGGGGGGAACTGGTAAATAAATGTTCTTTTAGGCACATGTACCACTAGAGAGATCATTTCCTTTCAAAACTATAAAGATACAATTTTTGGTACTAACCTATATATAGCAGAATGACATAATTCCTTATTAGACTTTTCATACTTCACCGATATAAAAATTACTAAGCTTAAAATGAATCCTTAAAAGATAGCATTTTGTTTAAAAAAAAAAAACCTGGACTCATACTGAACATATGCACAGAGAGCATAAAGAATTTTGAAGTGGCTAATGTAAATCTACTTAGGTTTTTACACTTGTGACCTAAAAACTTTTGAGCATTTTTTTCAGGATTTAAAATCATTCTTGAAAAGAGAATGTTGAAGGTTTATAGTTTTTGTTTTTTTTTTTTAATCGGTACTGGGGATCAAACTCACAACTGTCTGCTTGCAAGGCAGGTGCTTATGCTGCTGAGCTAAATCTCCAGCCCCTATAGTTTTGATTGTACCTTTTGCACAGTAATTAATGTAGGCTGTGGAGTCAAGCTATCTGCTTTGGAATCCTGGCTACCTCTTATAAAATATACTTCTTCTTTCAAAATATTTGATTTTTCTAGGCCACAGTTTTCCATCTGTAAGTTGGAATAATAATATTGAGCTTACAAATCTATCAACCAATTAAACAAAATAATATATAAAAAGCACTTAGACCGTGGCATATAGTAAGCACTAAATGAGGTTAGCTGCTCTTATTACTATTTCATAAAAAGTTGAAATACTTTCTGTAAAAATCATTCTAGTGTGGTTATGTTGGCTTTCTTTTCTTTCATCAGAAGAATTGCTAGAATGTTATGAAAAATATGATTTCTGCTCTTAAGTATGTCCAAAAATCAAATTAAAACCTGGAAATGAGACATTCTGAAAGATAGTAGACAGTGCCTCACAATGCAATAGAAAGACTTGGGCTTTAGAGAACCAAGATTTGAGTTCTAAGTCTGCCATTAAAAGCTTTGTAAAGGTGTGTAAAATGTCTATAATGTGTTAGTGATCATAGAGGTCACAGGATTGTTGGGAATTAAATGAGATGATCTTTGCAGAACATCTAATTAAATGACTAATAAAAAGAACACCCTCAAAAATGATGGTTTTTTTAAAAAAAAATTCTTAAAAGTACAGGAGCGGTTTATTTACAAGAATACAGACTCTCGGATCCGATGTACCAGAATGCTTGAGGGCATGTTGAAGTGTTGACATGCTTGTTTCACTGTTTATGCAGAGGTTTAGACCACCACAGATGAGCTTACATTACTTCAGAAAAAATTTGACAATAAGCATGTCATGTGTTGTGTAACACCATTCTCAAGAAGCACAGGACAGATACCAGTCTTTCTAGAACAGTGTAGGTTTGATGCACACAAGCCTTGGAACCAAGGGTAAAGGACAGAATGCTTTGTTCAGTTGCATCTGTGCATGCGCAGTGAAAACCATGCTGGTATTCTTGCAAGGCTATAAAGATGCTGAGCCTTTCTTTAACTCACAGGAGAGTCATACCAGTTACTTAGAGTGTATTTGTTCATTTTCTTTTAAAGAGAAAATGTGATGTTTTTCATCCCAGATTAGTGGCGCTTGGTCATTGATCTAAAATGTTTAGAAAATTATGCGTATTATCAACCATTTTCCTGGTACACTTTCTTCTACTTTAATTTGTATTCAGTTATGCCATACATTGAAAATTTTTAATATTCCAGACACTGTTAAATGTTGGTTGTTTTTTAAAAAAGTGAACAGAACAGACCTGGTATGGTACAGTATTCATAATCTGCTGTTATTAGATGTTCTTAGAGCATTTGATGGGTTTGGGGAGATTTCTAAAGGAGCATACAGCAGGTTACTTTGACTTTAGATATGTATTTGATGTTTATGGAAACAAACTTGTCTGCATGTTTCCCTGAAAATTCCATACCTAGAGATTTCCTTTGAGAAGCATTCTTCATATGCAGTTAACAGCAGCCTGTGACATGCAGAAGAGGTACCTGTGGTGATAGTTCCTGTGAAATTAAACTAGGACTGGTCAGTTGTTGAAATAGATCTCAGTGTTACTGGTTTTTTTTAATACATGGGAGATTTTTTTTTCCCTTAAAAAAGGCCCAGCCATATTAGTTCTCTTAGCCGACTAGTGGCACAAAGGAAAACTGCTGCTTGGGTCTGAATCACTAAACGATGAAAGCTTCAGTTACAATACATTTCCCTGTTACAAAGAGCTTTGCCAGAGTACTGCATGCTGCAAACCACACACTCCACAAGGAACTTTGTAGTCAAATGGCTCCCTTCATCTAGATATACTGGTAGCATGTTTATTCACTGTGATACCCTTGCTGAGATAAGACTGCTTCCTTCAGATGCCCCAGCCTGTCATTTGTTTAGCTGGAGAATTTAAAGAGTAATGAATGTGCTCGGCTGGCCGACATAAAGTATTTCCACTGCCTGCGGCTGTTTATAGAGAATTCAGAAGAGACGGCAGGCAGCAATTTGTCTTCTTAGGTATCTGCAACTTTTTCTCTTTTAACAACTAGAAGATTTATTTTTAACTGTTTGACTCAGTATTTGTCAGATGATTCGGACCATCAAACTGCAGATTGAAGCTCCCAGCATGGGGGAAGCTGGAATGGCAGCGGGAAGGAGACTGGCTGGGAAAAGGGGTGGGATTTAAAATCATGCCTCCCAGGCTCTGCCTCCTGATGTGGGTGAGAGTTAAGGGTTTCAGCAGTATGCGTGTGCTTGCAGGTCAAGCCAGAAGCTAAAGGCTAATGGCTGCCTTCAGCTACTTAAAGACATAGGTGCCTAGCGATTGGGATACTGTGAGTAGGAACGAGGAATCCCGGACTCAAGTATTGTGAGCAACACTCTCTGCTGTCCTGCAAACCGAGCCTTTCTCCTGCCGGATGCTGCCTGTCTCCAGAAGCCTCTCACCATGATCGATAGCTCCAAAAAGAATCAACAGGGCTTCCCAGAAATTTTAACTGCTGGGGATTTTGAACCTTTTAAAGAAAAGGAATGCCTTGAAGGGAGCAACCAGAAAAGTCTCAAGGAAGGTCAGTTTGTGGAAAGGGACAGGACAGCTAACTTCCTTTTCCCATCAACAGTTGAATGTATCTGTCTGTTTACCCTCGTGTGTCTGCTCTCTGTTTACCCATAGCCCTTACATGTTCCAAGTTCTGTGCAGTAAAAGCTTAATGCTGTTATTAAAGATGCGTTACCTGATTTTGCAATAATTGATACAATTAGGAGGCTCCTAATTTTAGTGAAATCTTTCCAGATTCATTTTGTGTATGTGCTCATTTTCTCCAGTTTTTCAGCCTCCCCATGGCTTTTTGGAGGCCATTTCTTTTTCAGTATTAGGATACTGCTTCTTTTAGGTTTATAAACACATAATTCTGGAAGATTAATTTTTCCTAATTAGCATGTTAGTGGTTATTGTTGCTTAAAGCTAGGAAGGTGGCTTTTCCTTAATACTAAAATGATGAGTTAGTTGGGTATAATGCAAATTACATATTTTTTGTTCTTAAAAGCATATTTGTAGTTGCAGGGGGAGTTGGGTTTTTGTTTTGGGGCTTTGGAGTTGTTTTTGAAACAAAGCAAGCAAAGAATAAGCTTGAGAATATTGTTATTACTGTAAGTGATGACTACACAGGTACCTTACTGACTGACTGAAGAAAATGGCCAAGGATTTTTGGCATTGTTGCCCCTTGTTTCTGGCATATTGAAGTGTGGCAAGCCCAGTATGCTTTACTATGGCAGTTTAAAAGATCAAGGAACATGGTTTAAGAAATTCAGGGTCTGCAAAGAGTAAGTTTTTTATAAATTTTAAACATGAAGATCACTCCTCTCAGTGCTTATTGAATTTGAAAAATTGGTTTTCTAATCCTCTTTTGGAGATACAAACCCCCACAATAACCTTTTTCCTTTCAGCTCCTTCAGCCACCCCCCTGACTCCCCCTAACTTTAACTGTAATCAGTCTCAGTATCACTTTGAGCTTCTTCCAAAAGGATATGCATCATATTTTTGTCTCAGACTTTTAGAATGAGGGTGTAATGATAGATTGTTACAGATTTAAGAGATAAGAAGAAACAATAGTTGGACCTGCGGAAGTTGAAATACTTTGGGATATGGGTAGGAAAAACACCTCAGTCAAAACAGATGACCGACCACAGTGAAGTACAAATAGCTGTTGCTAAGAACTAATAATAGATTTCTGCTTGTGTGCAACAGATTCTTGTGAAAATTGCAGATTTTTATAAAAATCAGTGCCAGTGGAGTTTTTAGGAAATGGGAACTTGAATTTTTTTTGTTAATTTTTTTAAAGTTCAAGAATTATTTATGCAGCATTTAAATTAAACATTAGGCTCCTATTACTATCAATACCATAAATTTAAAACAGATTTTGTGCTACCTGAAAAAAAACAAGCAGAAGAAAACCAAATAGGAGAAGTAAAAGGATGTCACTATAGCCTAGTGTGACTAAGGAGCATAGAAAGCAAAAATTTTAAATATAAAGACAGGCATGGAGTTGTAGTTCAGTCACAGAACTACATACAACATCCAGCATGTGCAAGGCCCTGAGTTCTATCTTCAGCACCATACATACATATATACATATGCATACACGCACATGCACAGACACAGTAAGAGGATTATCAGCAGAATAGCAGAGTTGAGATGATTACATAATGTTATAGTCTCTCCGTGATAATTTTGAGACTTATACAGGTGCAAGAGTATAATGTACAAGGAGCAAAAGAATATGAACTATAGAATGAAATCACTTAGGTTCAAATCCCAGGTAAACCATTTACTAGTATTGTGACCCTCTTCAAATTTATTGCTCTTACCCTTAAATTTCTCATTTATGCAATAAGAGTGAACAGAGTTTGTTTTGAACTGCGTTTAGCAATTTTTTTGTTTGTTTTGGTACCGGGAATCAAACTTGTGCTTGCTGGGCAAGTGCTGTGTTACTGAGCTATATCCCCCTGCCCAGCAGTATTTGATTTGAGATGTCTGGTTTAATGCCAGTTTTTCATCCTTCCTGTTTATTTTTTAAAACCTTCCTCACATTATTTTTCTATTAAATTTAAAATCTGTTATATATTTACAAAGTAAAGAAATAGTCTGCACATTACTGTTGTGTAAATTAATAGGTATAACAAGGTAGGGAAAAGACTTTCAGTGTGTCAAAACCCTCCATGAAAATAATTGAAGATAAAATTTACCTGTCTTGCCATACAATTTATATCTTAATAGCCTGTTTCTAGTCTTTTTGTGTATAGATAGGCCTGGGGATAAAATAACCTAGATAAAAATCAATACTAGCTTTTAACTTATCTACAAAAGACTTCAAACATTTTTAAATTGTTCTCAACTTGTATGAGATCAAATTTTAATTTCTAGATCTACAACTAAGGAGGATATTGCACAACTTGACAATGGATTGATAATTATGAATTTTTAGGAAAAAGCAAATAATTTAGCAAATAAATTGACGTTCAATATAAAAAAGCTCTCTAATATTGACAACAAAGTACCCCAGAGAGAAAACTAATTAATTTGGCTAAAAAATACTCTAATAAACGACCCTAACGTGTAACGCTTTAACCATTCCTTACTCAGAGTGCTTCAGTGTGGGTTGGGCAGCAGTGTCTTAGGCAGCTATTTTCTCACAAATGACTGATATGGGTTCCTTTCACTGTGGGGCTTAAGCATAGTGTTGGGGGTCGGGAGGAATGCAGATTTAGGGACCACATTCTCAGTTCTGCCACAAACTGATTAACAACAGCCAAAATGAAGTGTGTGAAATTGTGGTACATTGATTAGAAATCAGGAATATTTTAACATGTTGTATTAGAACATAACTATAGATTTAATAAGGAAGAAACTGAATGTTTGAGATATTCTGAGTAATCCAGGCTGGGAACATAGATTAAGTAAGTAGCTTTGCCAAAGCATCAAAACTTTTATGTGAGGAAAGCTGGGCATGGTAGCACATACCTAAAATCCCAGCACTTGGGAGTCTAAAGCAGAAGGTTCTCTGTAAGTTTGAGGGTGACCTAGGCAACATAAGAGAGTTCAAGGCCAGCTTGCACTGTATAGCAAGGCCCTGTCGCAGAAAAACTTATGATAGAAACAAACTCATACATAACTTCATTTGTACTGTCCATTTGCTACCTATGGCTGTTTATATTTGTAGGCTCAAAGCCTCTTAAACCACAATTCCTGTGTATTTCTTTTTTTAAAAAGTCACTTGATTTTATACACTGAAAATATTTTTGTCCCTATTGTATATATCCCCAAAAACCATCTTTTTACGATATTTCACAATAGGCCATTATAATAAAACATCTGTACTTGTTTTTGCAGTTAAACCATGTTTCTTATAAATAAAATCATTTGACACATTTTTATAGCTCACTTCTAAATCCTGTATCTCACAGCAGTGTTACTTTTGTGCAACAGATAGTTGATGAGTATTATAGTAGCTCTGCCTTCTTAGAATAATGTGAACTGTTTCAAATATAATTTATAGCTCAATTGTAAATTAATGGCTCACCCAAAAATGTCATAGGTTAGTGCCTTTAAGGCTTTGATGAGATGTGTGTATAAGATTGCTTTACTAGATCATTAAATGAAATTGTTACTTGATACTTAATTTTTGTCATCTGCTACTTTAGGCTATTCTCCATTTTCTGAAACACTGCTTTTAATCATCTTTAAATTAAATGACCAAAATACAATGAAGGAATTCTGATGCTCTTTGTTGAGTCAACCAAAATTTATTAAATCATAGTGGGATTTCCAACCTGAGCAATTTAGTGACTTAGCAAGATCCTGTCTCAAAATAAAAAACATAAAAGGCCTGGGAATGCAACTCAGTGCAGAAACCCTCAGTTAATCTCAAATAAAAAATAAGTAAACAACTAGACAAATAGGCAATTAAAATGCATTCTATAAGGATATGGATCTTATAACATCTTGGGAAATTTTACTTCTTTGTCCTCTGCCAACATTTTACTAGTTTAAAGTATTATATAGGTGATTTACTGTTAATGTTTCTAAAAAGTAAATTTGAAAAAGAAATATGATCTTTATACTCAATATACAGGTATAATTAAAAAGTAAAAAAGAAGTAACATATCTCCTCCCTTCCCAAACCTGATTCTGTATTTTTACTTGTAAAATGAATGCATGCTACTCTTGAGATAAAAGTACCGGTATGTAGTTTAATTTTTTTGGAAATAATTTTATTTAGCAGAAATTTGAGTGCTTTCTACATAAGACCGTGTTACATATTATAAACTTCACAAGCACTGTATTCAAGAAGCTCATACCCTTAAGAGTAAGAAACTTAAGTGATAAATGGAAGTTAAGACACACACAAGGCAATGGAAGAGTATTACTATATACATGCTTTGGTCCAGATGAACAAGCAGTACAGGCCAGGGGCCCAACCTCTTTTTGCAGATGTCGATAGAGGTGTGCTGGAGAATACTTTATCCCTGAGAAATATAACGTCTCTCCACAGCACTGCATCACTACATCCTGGTCCAGGGCCCTGTGACTCACATAGGATCTTCACAGGTATCTTGAGTCAAGCAGAGATGAAACTGTCAAGCTGATTTTTCTCCTACATCCATACTCCCTCCATTTCATCAGCCTCTACTGATAGGAAGAGTAATCATCTTGAAATACAGTCCTCATTGATGCTCCTGTTTCATACTCTAAAAATGTTCACTGTCCTTGGGAAAAATCTAAAACCTGTGGTTGAGGGGCCCTGCCCAAGTCTCTAAGAGCTTTTCTGCTCTCTCCTTCCATCCTTGCATTGGCAGAATATCCCACCATCACCCTGTCCTCGCTTTCTTTCCTACCCTGTATCCCCATTGCTGTCCTGAGCAGCTACAACTCAGCCTTGTATCCCAACTCCAGGCACAACTCCTCACAGAGGCCTTTCCACACTACCTCTCCCTTCTCCCACATACACACTTAGGTCCTTTAGTTTTCTTATGAATCCATCATAATCATTCTATTAAATATTGATTCCTC